GTGTGTGTGTGTGTGAGTGAGTGAGTGAGTGTGTGTGTGAGTGAGTGAGTGTGTGTGTGTGTGTGTGTGAGAGAATGTCTGTGTGTGTGTATCTGTGTGAGTGAGTGAGTGAGTGAGTGTGTGTGTGTGAGAGAGTGTCTGTGTGTGTGTATGTATCTGTGTGTGTGTATCTGTGTGTGTGTATCTGTGTGTGTGTACATACTGAGCTGGTGAACCAGGTAGAGCTCTCACACACATTTGAGAATCCGATTAAAGACTATTGCAATTTGGAATTACTAGGAATTTCACTGCTATAATATTTTTCGTTTGTTTTACCAGTTTTCATAATGTAGACAGAGATTGCATAAGTCTTTGGTATTAATTTATATAATAAAAAGCCTCAAATAAATCAGTACACTAGATGAGGTAAAATAAACCATGTATGAGTCCACATTCTATTGATTTGTGTTTATTGGTGAAAGTGCAATGTCTGAAATGCAAAAAGTAAATTTCTCAAATGACAACAATCATTACGATTATAATTCTGAGCAAAACATTTTTATCAGTTTAACCTTTATACATTTTCATTGACTAAAACTAGACTAAAATTGAGACTTTTACCCCCGGTTTCACAGACAAAGCTTAAGCTTAGTCCCAGACTAAAGTGTAAGTCTGAGCTGTTTCAACTGAAAGAAACTTGCACTGATTGATCTTTAAATATATCAGTGCCTTTGCTTTGTGTCGAGATGCACACCAGGCACGTCTAAGGCACATTTATAAAAAATAACTTAAATGTTGAACTATAGCCGAATTCTGGCTTAGTCTAAGCCCTGTCTGTGAAACCAGGCCATAGTCGAATAAAACTTGATTAAAACTAAATAGGATAAGGTTGACTAAATATGATAAAAACTAACAAGGGCATTTAACACGGGACTAAGACTAAAACTGAAAATGAACACTAGTGCAGATGACCTTGTTGTTGAGGAAGGACTCCGGCGCGGCCCATGACCACATAGACAGGACTCCTGCGGACGCTGAGACATTAGAGACGATGAGGTTGTCGTCTGAGACGAGAGACGTGAAGATGCTGGAGCTCTGGAGAGATCGAAGGAGAACGCCGTCTCTGTGCTCCACCTGAGAACCAACCACACAAACCATCACTCATACTAATGCGTTAAAATGCTTTCACTTTAATGTTAGTCTTAGTTATTTTGTTCTTGTAAATAATAGTTATATATACAGTGGTGGCCAAAATGATTAGAACACTAGTATTTTCAGCAGCTAGAAATGGTTTTAAGTCAGTTATTTCTATCTTTTGCTGTAGTGCAGGGTTCCTCAATTAGTTTTCGCAGAGGGCCGAATTCTGCCAACAATACCAAGCCAAGGGCCACTGACCTATATATATATATATATATATATATATATACTACCGTTTAAAAGTGTGGGATCAGTAAGACTTGTAATGTTGACTTGTAAAGTCTCTTATGCTCATGAAGGCTTCATTTATTTGATAAAAAATACAGAAAAAAGCAGTAATCTTGCAAAATGTTATTACAATATAAAATAATAGTTTCTATTTTAATATCCTTTAAAATGTAATTTATTTCTGTGATGCAAAGCTGAATTTCCATCAGCCATCACTATATATATATATATATATATATATATATATATATATATATATATACTACCGTTTAAAAGTGTGGGATCAGTAAGACTTGTAATGTTGACTTGTAAAGTCTCTTATGCTCATGAAGGCTTCATTTATTTGATAAAAAATACAGAAAAAAGCAGTAATCTTGCAAAATGTTATTACAATATAAAATAATAGTTTCTATTTTAATATCCTTTAAAATGTAATTTATTTCTGTGATGCAAAGCTGAATTTCCATCAGCCATCACTCCAGTATAAAGTGTCACATGATTCTACAGAAAATTAGTGTGTGTGTGTGTGTGTGTGTATCTGTGTGTGTGAGTGAGTGTGTGTTTGTGTGTGTGTGTGAGAGTGTGGGTGAGAGTGTGTGTGTGTCTGTGTGTGAGTGTGTGTGAGTGAGTGTGTGTGAGTGAGTGTGTGTGTGTGAGTGAGTGAGTGAGTGAGTGTGTGTGTGTGTGTGTGTGAGAGAGTGTGTGTGTGTGTGTGTGTGAGAGAGTGTGTGTGTGTGTGTGTGTGAGAGAGTGTGTGTGTGTGTGTGTGTGAGAGAGTGTGTGTGTGTGTGTGTGTGAGAGAGTGTGTGTGTGTGTGTGTGTGAGAGAGTGTGTGTGTGTGTGTGTGTGAGAGAGTGTGTGTGTGTGTGTGTGTGAGAGAGTGTGTGTGTGTGTGTGTGTGAGAGAGTGTGTGTGTGTGTGTGTGTGAGAGAGTGTGTGTGTGTGTGTGTGTGAGAGAGTGTGTGTGTGTGTGTGTGTGAGAGAGTGTGTGTGTGTGTGTGTGTGTACATACCGAGCTGGTGAACCAGGTGGAGCTCTCACACACATCTGAGACTCCGAAACAGAAGCACTCGGTGCAGCCCTCAGGATTACTGTCCTGTAGGTTATAGAAGCCCTGCTTGCACAGATCACAGCTAGAGCCCATCACATTCACCTGTGGAGAGAGAGAGAGATGAGGATTACAGCCTAACACATGAAATAATAGTCAGAAAAATCTAACATGGTACAGTTTAATGAACCTTTAGACAAATATAAAAGCTTTTGATATTTGCTCCATCAGGCGTTTATGCCTCATATAGTCTGACATAGTGAGAATATGGAGGAAAGGACAGCTCGTAACTGTTCCAAGAGGAGCGAGTTCCAAAGTTTGATAAGATAAGAGGAACCTAGGCACACAAAGTAGTTCTGAACTAGAAGACCAGAGTGAGCGAGAAGGAATAAAGGAAGAGAGTAGGTCAGAAATATAGGAGGGAGCAAGTATAGTCTGTCTTAGATTATGTATATGTATAGTCAATTATTTATAATACACTACAGTTAGATTACCGCTTTCAGTAAGTTAGCTATGTATAGGTTTAAAAAATAGTTTCTTACGTCTAGTGTTATATGTTTATATTTATGTTTAAATATGTAGCACCGTGGTCCTGTGAGACACGACATTTCGTTCCACTGTATGTCCACACATTTAGCAGAATGACAATAAAGCTCAACTTGACTTGACGACAGAGACATTAACGAGATCTCACACACACACACACACACACGCACACACATTAAGCTTTGATTTAAATTCACTGAAAGAGGTAACTGTTCCAAGAGGAGCGAGTTCCAAAGTTTGATAAGATAAGAGGAACCTAGGCACACAAAGTAGTTCTGAACTAGAAGACCAGAGTGAGCGAGAAGGAATAAAGGAAGAGAGTAGGTCAGAAATATAGGAGGGAGCAAGTATAGTCTGTCTTAGATTATGTATATGTATAGTCAATTATTTATAATACACTACAGTTAGATTACCGCTTTCAGTAAGTTAGCTATGTATAGGTTTAAAAAATAGTTTCTTACGTCTAGTGTTATATGTTTATATTTATGTTTAAATATGTAGCACCGTGGTCCTGTGAGACACGACATTTCGTTCCACTGTATGTCCACACATTTAGCAGAATGACAATAAAGCTCATCTTGACTTGACGACAGAGACATTAATGAGATCTCACACACACACACACACACTCACACATACACACACATGGGGGGAGTGAATGTACAGCGCTCTCTCCCACCTTCAATACCATGACTGAGGTGCCCTTGAGCAAGGCACTGAACCCCAAACTGCTCCTTAGGATGGGTAAATGCAGAGCACTAATTCCGAGTATGGGTCACCATACTTGGCCACATGTCACACACTCACACACATTTTATTACTTTATTTGGATCCACAAGACAAGCAACAAAAACGGAATCCAAATACCTTGGGAAGTCAGTTTGCAAGATGACAGGCACACATGGCTAACATACATTCACAAGTCCTTATATTTATAACATTCAACACTCAAGGATAGACAAAACTCACACTCTCACACCCACACACACACACACACACACACACACCTGGTGTGGTCTGTAGTATCCGTCCGCACAGGTTTGGCAGTTCACTCCCGCTGTGTTCTGCGAGCAGTTCACACACACTCCTCCTCCCACAAACTGACCGAGTGTGTTCACGCTCAGCCGCAGATCTGCCACCGTCTGGTTGTAGTAACAGTCGACGGCTTTGTTGTGACAGTTACATTCTGATCAACGAGACAGAAAACACAGAGATCAGGAGGCTCATGATCGGTTACAGATGAAAGCGTGCTTGTTTTTGTGCTTAAGTGAATCCCACAAAATATGTCCAGGTCAATTTTCATCACAACATCAAGTGATCATTAAGATATTTTGCATTGTGACTAAAATTTCAGTTACTGTAATGCAAAATTAATAATAAAATATACAATACATATTATATTACATATTTAAATAAAAAGATAAAATATACTTTTATTATCTACATATACGTAAAAATAATATTTATCACATTTAATAAATTAATTAATAATGTAATTGATAAAAAATTAATAAATTAATTGACTTTAATTAAATAATGATATTTATTTTTAATAAATATATAAATATATTTGTCTTTTCTGTATTGCAAGTCTAAAAGGGACTTTTTTTTTTTAAAGAATAGAATTAGAATAGAGAGTGTTAGAGTTAGAGGGTCAAATAAAGGTGGAACAGATGTGTTTTTAGTCGTTTCTTGAAGATGGTTAAGGACTCAGCTGCTGGGATTGAGTTGGGCAGGTCATTCCACCAGGAGGGAACAGTTAATGAAAAAGTCAGTGAAAGTGATTTTGTGCTTCTTTGGGATGAACAATAAAGCGCCGTTCACTTGCAGAACGCAAGCTTCTAGAGACACATAACTCTGAAGTAATGAATTTAGGTAAAGGGGTGCAGAGCCAGTGCTGGTTTTGTAGGCAAACGTTAATGCCTTGAATTTAATGTGAGCAGCTACTGGTAGCCAGTGCAGATTGATGAACAGAGGTGTGACATATATATATATATATTTTTTTATTTCTTTTTATTTCTCCTCTTTCGTATTGCTTGTTTCACTTCTGTTTCGGTTGTTGTGACCATTTCTTGCTATGTGTAACAGTTAAGTGGGTTGTTGTTTTTTGGCATGTAGGTTTGGCAGTGTTGTTTTTTGGGATTACTGATGGACTACTGTCATTTGATTAGTATTATTTGTATTTGTTATTTATTTTGATTTTACTTACATTATGTCTGAATTTAGTATGTCTGTATATGTATTTTATTGGGTTTTTAGTTTTATTTGATTTGAGTTGTTTTAGTGCTTCGGCAGGCTGGATGGAAATGAAATAATATAAATGTTGCATTTATGGATGTGTATGTACATGTACTGTGTGTGTGTGGTTTTTTTGGTGTTTGGCTTGGTGTTATGTTTGTCACGAATTCGGTCCATGGACTGCCGTTTATTCACCACCAGAGGTCACCCTTTCCATTACATTGACTCTCGCACAACACAAACTGTTGCATAGCACCCCGGACTACATGTCCCATCATTCATTGCACGGTTTGCACACTGCACTGATTGCACTCATTGCACTGTCAACTGTGACTTGACTTGGTTCAGGAAGATCCGCTGTGATGTGACGAGGCTCTGGCAGATCAGCTGAGACTCGACTTGACTCAGCAATGGAAGCTGTGACTTTAGTTGACTCAAGAAGATCAAATGTGACTAGACCTGACTCATGAAGATCTGTTGTGACTTGACTAGACTCATGATAATGAACTGTAACTTGACTTGACTCGTGACGATCAACTGTGACTAGACTTGACTCATGATAATGAACTGGAACTTGACCGGACTCATGACGATCAGCTGTAACTTGACTTGACTCAGGGAGATCAGCGGAGACTTGACGAGACTCTGGGCTGGCGGCCAACTTATGACAAGGCTCTGGAGTGGAGGTTACTGCGGGAACGCTGCACTGCTCCTCCTCCACTTAACTCCCACAGTAAAAGCAGAGCCACTCAGCTGCAATGCCAAGTCAATATAAAATTCCAGGGTCCAGCTTGGGTCATGCAATGGCATGATTAATCCAAGTGACTCAGACAGTCCCCCTCGAAAAAAGATCATAAGGGATACCTCAGACATTCTGGTTTGATGAGCGAGCTCAATGAAGTCCATGACATACTCCTCAATTGGCCGATCACCTTGACGAAGACACATTATCTTCACTGCTGCTGGATCCATATTGGTCAGTCATTCTTTGGAAAAGTCGCTGGATCCTTGTTGGGCTGAGTATTGTTTAGCCCGTACCCCATTCCTAGTCTCTGTGTTTTCCTTGTTTTGCCTTGCCTGTTTTCGCGGTTTCTGATCTTTGCCTGTTTTCTTGGATTTCTCCCTCTCGTCTCGCCTCTGTGATTCTGTCTGCCAATCGGTGACCTACGCTAGCCCTGGGACTATTCTTGTGTTTTGCCCGC